AACCCCTCTTCTAGTGTACCCGTCTGTGCCTTCTTGGGACCACAGTGTCTAAGAGCTATCCCAATGGACACATTCCCAACTTGGATGTCCATCTGGAACACAGGGTCCAGGCTGGGAGCTGTAGACACTTCTCTGAGTGTCTGACAGAAGTGCAAGCCACCCAGGCTGTCCCCAAAGAAGTAGGCTACTCCTAGCCTGAGGAGTTGTGTAAAAAGCCAGTTTAGTAACTGAAATCTTATTTATTTATTTTTCTTTTGTTTTGAGACAGGGTATCATTCTGTAGACCTGGCTGGTCTGGAACTTAATATGTGCCGCAGGTTAGCTTAGAAATCATGGCAATCCTCCTGTCTCAACCTTGTGAGTATTGAAATTATAGGCACATACCACATTCCATTCTATAAATGATTAACTGTGAGACTGCAGATGGCAATGCCAGGTATGTGCGCTCAATCCCACCCTCTGGGGGTCTCCTCAGGCCAGGTATGTGCACACAATCCCACCCACTGGGAGTCTCCTCAGGGACACTGTCTAGCCAGCTCATAAATGGAGGAAAAGCTAAGCTGTCCTCTTCCTGCAATTGCACAGGGCAGAACCCGGGTCAGACCATCCTGGTGCAGCCTGGGTGGGTCGTTGTCTCGCTCAGGATAACAGCAAGAGCCAAGGAGCCATCCAAGCAGCACGGACAGCTGGCGCTGGACGCTTTTCCCATCCAGGGTGACCGAAAACAATTCCCAGAGCACAGGTGGCAGCTTCGGTCTGGTCTGCTGTTCTCTACATACGCCTTCCAGTCCAGACCCCCCTCTCACCCTGCCACAGACACTACCCTAAAGAGCCCTGGGCTGCTCGCTGGCAGTGCAGCGCTGTGGAGGAGAGCTTAGACACCCCCAACCCTCCACTCCTGTTACTTCCTGCTTTGTTGCCAGCTCTGGTCCTGGAGGCTGGAATGTCTGAGAACATCTGGATGCCAGCTGGCATCTGGTGAGGGTCCTTATACTGTTTCATCCCCTGGCAGGAGGCAGAAGAGAGAGGGGGTAGGTGGGGAGAGGGAGAGAGAAAGTGGGCTTGCATCCTCCAGCCCATTGGTGCTGGCACTGAGCCTTTCATGGACTTAGAGCGCTATGATCTAAACAGCCCCCAGCGGGTCCCACCTCCCAGCATCTGCCTTTCGGGGAATATACTCGTAATATAGCCTTCACCCGTATGTCAGTGTGGTCCAGGTTCCTTTCCAGGACTCTCCTCAGTTTTCCTCCAAGCCATCCAGGCCGATCCTGACCTGTCCTGGGACACTGAGCAAGGAGTAGAGCCAGCTGAAGATTAAATCCTGCCACCTTCAATGCCAGGACTAGGGAGGCAGAGGCAGGAGGATCTCTGTGAGTTTGGCCTGGTCTACAGAGTGAGTTCCAAGCCAGTCAGGGCTACGTAGTAAGACAAGTAAGACACTGTCTCAAAAAAACAAACAAAACAATACAAAACAAAAATCCAAAACTTCCTTTTTATTCATTTCCCAATGACACGGGAACAAATTAACACACAAGCTTGGTGGCTTAAAAGCCTACAGACCGGGCTGGAGGGACGGCTCCAGTGGTTAGGGTGCAAGCTGCTGAAGCCATCCCAACATGGCTCCTGGAGCCGACATCAGCTGATGTCAGCAAATGACAGGTGATTCACAGCGCCTGTAACAAGGCCTCCTGCATGCCTCAGGGGCCACCTGCACACACCCCACACAGAAGCAGACATATACACTAATTTAAAGCAACACTGCCACACAAATTACTTACCATGTGGTGGAGGTCAGAAGTCCTGTGAAATTAAAGTCAAGATGTCTGGAAGCTCTGGGAGAGTCTGTCCTTGTCTTCTCCAGCTGTTAGAATGCTCAGAGCTGCTTGGTTTGTGGGCTCTTCTTTTCCTCTAAAAATAGCACCAGAGTATCTTTCGGGCTGGCCCTTCCTTCCATTATAGATAGGTGCTCTTCTTCCACCATGAGAGTTCAGGAGCTCCAACCCAGGTCGTCAGGCTTGGGGACAGAGTGCTTAAGTCCAGCAGGATCAGAAGCTCAACCATCTCAGCCGGGCGGTGGTGGCGCACGCCTTTAATCCCAGCACTCGGGAGGCAGAGGCAGGCGGATCTCTGTGAGTTCGTAGACCAGCCTGGTCTACAAGAGCTAGTTCCAGGACAGGCTCCAAAACCACAGAGAAACCCTGTCTCGAAAAACCAAAAAAAAAAAAAAAAAAAAAAAAAGAAGCTCAACCATCTCATACCCACCCCATGTTTGACTGTTTCGACAGAGGGTCTCACCATGTAGCCCAGGCTGGCCTCTGCTTCCCCAGACATGTGCTGCCAGGCCTAGTGTGGCCCTTCTTTAATTTTTTTTTCAAGACAGGGTTTCTCTGTGGCTTTGGAGCCTGTCCTGGAACTAGCTCTTGTAGACCAGGCTGGTCTCGAACTCACAGAGATCCACCTGCCTCTGCCTCCCGAGTGCTGGGATTAAAGGTGTGCGCCACCATCGCCCGGCTCCTTCTTTAATTTTTTGTCTTTTCTAACTTTTAAGGGCCCTTGTAATTAAACTGGCCCACTCAGGTAATAGAGCATAATCTTTATTTCTTTAAAAAATGACATTAATGGCAGAGGCAGGTCAATTTCTAAGTTCAAGGACATCCAAAGCTATGTAGAGAGACACTGTCTCAAAACAAACAAAAAAATAAAAAAAAAACAAATAGAAACCCAGCAACAACAAGAAATTACATTAAGTCAGGTGTAGTGGCACATGCCTCTAATCCCAGCACTTGGGAGGCAGAGGCAGGTGGATCTCCATGAGTTTGATACAGGCTTGGTCCAAATAGTGAGTTCCATGCCAGCCAGAGCTATACAGTGAGATTCTGTCTCAAAAAATAAATTACATTGTGTTTTTGTGGGGGTAGGGGCATGCATGTTTGCTGTGGTTGTATGTGGCCAGAGAACATTTAATAGTTCTCTCCTTCTTCCACCATGAAAGCCCCAGAAATCAAACTCAGATTGTGAGCCTTGACTGCAAACACGCTTAGCTGCTGAATCCTCACTCATAACGACCCTCTTATTTAGTTATTTTTGGTTTTTTTTTTTAATATTTATTTATTTATTATGTATACAATATTCTGTCTGTGTGTATGTCTGCAGGCCAGAAGAGGGCACCAGACCTCATTACAGATGGTTGTGAGCCACCATGTGGTTGCTGGGAATTGAACTCAGGACCTTTGGAAGAGCAGGCAATGCTCTTAACCACTGAGCCATCTCTCCAGCCCTTATTTTTGGTTTTTTGAGACAGGGTTTCTCTGTAGCTTTGGAGCCTGTCCTGGAACTAGCTCTTGTATACCAGGCTGGCCTCAAAATCAGAGATCTGCGTGCCTCTGCCTCCTGAGTGCTGGGATTAAAAGCGTGCGCCACCACCGCCTGGCTGACCCTCTTTTATTTTTGGACTTGAATTAACTATATGGATGGGAAGAATAACCGTGAACTCCTGATCCTCCTGCCTCAGTCCTCTGAGCACTGGGATCACAGACGTACACCAGCCATCCTGTTTAAGGAGCGCTGAGAACAGAAGCCAGGACCTCATGTGATACCTAAGTACTCTGCGAACTAAAGTGTATTCCTAGGCCAGGGTAATCTCTATGTTAAAATCCCCCGAGCAGGGCATGGTGGTTTCCATCTATAGTCCCAGCTCTTTGGGAGGTTGAGGAAGGAGGACTGGTTGAGCCCAGGTTTCTGCTTATCACAATCCCCCAGGTACTCAAAATTCCCTTCCCACATAACAAGCAGTCATAGGTTCCAGAGGTTAAAATAGGGAGATCTTGATCTAGGGATGCATGCATGTGTGAGTGTGAGGGCGTGTGAGTGTGTGTATGCATACATGCATGTGTGACTGGTGATTAAACAGAGACTAACACACAGGGAAACACACAGGGAAACACACCGAGCCCCTCAGAGCTGTATTTCCTAACCCAGATTACTGACATCTTTAAGGATGCATGACTCATAGTCCTTCCCATTATGCCCCCCCCCCCCCCCTGGCTTGGCTGACACATTCGCTCACCCCAGCATCCTCCCCTCCTGTACACACATCCCATTTCTTCAGTGGCTGTCTGGAAGCCAAGCATCCTGGCTCCTCTCTTCCCACCTTTCTCTTTTGCCTCACTCCTCTTCGCACTTAACCACCTGGATTGGGATCGCCCTGTGCCTTGTACCTTGAATTTCTTGAGTCCCCATCTCTCAGCTTCCCTAACCACAAGTAGACACCCAAAGAAGTTATTCCACTTACTCACAGAACGGAGCAATAACAAGTTTTCCTCGGTCTGTCTCAGCAACCTTAGAACCTGCCCTTCAATAACTGTTTCTGATCCTGTGTGACTGTATAAATGAACGAATCATTGTAGGAGCCCAAACCCACGTCGGAAACAACCTAGCAGGACAGCAAACACAGGCGTGCCCAGTCTCTCTCTGTCTTTCTCGGTCTGTCTGTTTCTGGTTTTCTCCGCGCTGCCCCCTCCCCGAATCTTTCTCTCTCCCTCCTTCCATCGCTCTCTCTCCTAGGTTAGGCAAACTCTTCAAAGCGCTGCTAAGTTTGGAAGGCGCCTGCAAAGCCCGATTCATTCCGGTAGAGTCACACTCGTGCGGACGTCTCCCGGGTCACAATCCTTCCGGCAAGGAAACCCAACCAAGGGCGCTCAGAGATTTCTCAAGAATTCGCTCTTCCGGCCTTTGCTGGCCCAGTGCTTCTAGCCTAAAGTTTTGACTCCAACGTGCACAGCTGGCGTCCTGGTAGCCACCACTGCTACTCCTCGGCGAATGCCCCAGCTCCTGGAGGCTAAGGCTCTGGAATCTTGCGGCGGAGTCTGCAGAACAGAGAACTTGGGTGGTGCCGCGGTGGGCGGGGATGTGTGGGAGGGGGCTGGAAAAGGGCCACTCGGGATTGGTTTCTAGTGCTGGGGGCGGGGCTTCGGGTCTGAGGTCCGCATTGTAAGTTCCCAGGCCCTCCCTGGTGCTCTATCCCGGCCGCGCAGCTCTGCGGCTTTGCCCGCGCGCCTCAAGGTGAGTCTAGACTGAGGTTTCTCAGGCCTCTGGTGGCTTCTTGGAGAGTCCATCCAGGGTGGTGCTCGGTTCTGGTCCAGGTCAGGCCCCTTACCAGTCGCCTGGGTCCCCGCCCCCTACCCATGACCTCCCACAGCGCTCAGGGCGCTGCGCTGTCAGTCTTGCAACTCCTATCTTTACCAGTGTTCTATGCTGGAGCCTCGAGACCAGGGAGCATCCTTCCTCGGCCCGTGTTCCCGCCTGGGCTGGAGGCCGTATTTTTAGCGGCTGGTGAGGTGTCCTCCTATCTTTAGCTGCAATGTTACTGAAACGGATCTGGGCTGCGCCAGGCAGCGCTTGGCTGGGGAGCTGGAGGGGTCGGCGCGGGAACGCGAGCCAGGGTTGAGCAGCCGGACACGCTGGAGGGCGGGGGCCTGCACGTCCGAAACCTGGCGGCACGCCAAGCAGACACTGGGACCTCGCCCAGGCCGGGAAGCTCAGGCAAGGCCCCTCCCAGAGCTCGGGGACCGGGACAAGGTCCCCCAGTCTTCGCACTTCCACCCTCACCGTGGCCTGCCTGTGCGACCCAGAGAAAAAGCCCTATGGGTGATACACCTCGGGTAGTGGAGCGCGCAGCTCCGCGATGGGCGTCAGCTTGGAGCCGGTGTGCTCTGTGGGACCCTAGAATGCTGGACGATAGCGGGGGCGCGCGCGCCACCTAGCGACCACGGGTCCTATCGCTTCTCAGCGCTGGGACCCAGGGAGACCGCTGCGGGAGAACCAACTTCTGAGGTAGCCCTGTCAGGGCTGGCAAAAGGAAACCCACGCCTGGGGGCTGAGTAGGGCTCGGTTTTTGTTCTTGTTGCAACCCAGGAGAGCCGAAGGGTTTGAGAAAGGACCTGCAGATATTTGCTGAATGTCCTTTGATGGTGACAGTGGACTCATCTATTTCTGCAGAGCCTCTTGTTTCCAGTATAGCAAAGGGTCAGCCCATTTAAAAGATGAGGAAGGTGAGTCCAGTCCCGGAGAGGTTACAGAGTTCCAGGTGGAATTAGATTCCAAACTATTCCTTTTGGCCTGGCAAGAAGTCTCAGCGGAAGTAGCTTGCTGAGCAAGCTTGGGGATGAGTTCCATCTGCGAAACATGTAAAGATGGAAGGAGAGAAATGACTCCACAAAGTTACCCTCTGACCTACACACACACACACACACACACACACACACACACACGCGCCATAGTACATATGAGCTTGTGTGTGAGCTTGTATGCACATACACACATAACAACAAATGCAACTTTTTGTTTGCTTGTCTTTTAGAGGCAGTATTTTAGTTCTTAGGGGCAGGCAGATTTCTAAGTTCGACTGGCCTGATCTACAGAGTGAGTACCTGGACAGCCAGGACAACCTGTTCTGTAGAGAAATCCTGTCTGAAAAAAAAAAAGAAAACAAACAAATAAAAAACTTTTACTGCATTTAAGAGTAGGGACAAAAATCACGTCTGGAGCTGGGCATGCTAGCACACTTTTTTTTTTCCTTTTGGTTTTTTGGATGTTTGAGGGGGTCTCCCTTTGTAAACTCTGGCTGTCCTGGAATTCACTATGCAAACTAAGCTGGCCTCGAACTCACAGAGAGCTGCCTGCCTTTGCCTCCCAAGTGCTAGAATTAGACATTCATCACCAAGCCCAGCTGGGTGGCACACTTCTAATCCTGGCACTTGGGAAGCAGAAGCAGATCTCTGCGAGTTTGAGGCCAGCCTAGTCTACAGAATGTGACAAAAAGAGGGGGAAAAATCATTAGTTCTGAAGTGTGTATGGAGGGAGGGGAATTTCCGGGAACATCCAGAGTGAGCAGGGCTAAATATTCTCCGTGGCCAGAGGGGATCGCCTCCAGGAAGTTATTTCCTCTGAGGGAGGCCCAGGGTTGCTGTCCAGGGCAACCCACAGAGCTGGGATGGCTCCCATCTGCTCCTCCGGTTGTTGGAGGAGGCTCCTCCTGGCAGCCTTCCTCCAATCAGAGTTCCTTCCAGCTCTGAACACTGGCAAGTCCGGGAAGTGGCAGCCAAGGGATATGACTACATAGAGGAAGCTGCAGACTTGATAGTTTTTCTCTCCTGTTCCCCATCCATATCACCACGGGGCCAGTTCACTGCCTTGAAGCCACATGGCCAGCCTTGGTACCAGTGCCTTTCCTTGCTAGTTGGATGAGGCTCCACTCCGGTGGCTATCTAGGATAGCAGTGACACCTACCACACTGTGGCTTTAGAGTGTGAGGAACCCCATGGCAGGCTGGAGCCTCCACTCCTGTGGTTGTTAGATCTTCTAGTCAGGATTGCTGGTGGTTATTCCCAGCTTTCTCCTGAGTGGCTGATGCTGGCCCCACCCTTCCCTTTAGCCTCTGTTCTCCTCACATCTGGATTTGGGTGGGTACATCTGGCTCAGAGTGAGACAGCTGTCAGGGACGCCCAGTTTGCTGTGGAAACACCCAAGCTGTCTTGGAGCTCTAGTGTGATGGAGTGAGCGTGGGGGAAGGACCTGGCCCAAGCTCTAGGCAGATTTCACCAGTTGGCCCAGGTCGCCCTCAGTGGAAAGGAAGCAGTAGTTATCCCATTGCTACACAGCAGCAACCTGGACAGATCAGGTGTGCTCACAGGGTAAACCAGTGACAGAATTCGAAGACCTGGGGTGCGTCTTCTTCCGACAGCTCCTCTAGAATTAGCTGGAATCTACCATGAAGTTCATTCCCTTGTCTCCTGTTGGCTGCAGGTGCTCAGAGGCCAGAGATGTCCAGCCTCCATGGTTCAGCCTAGGGTGTCCGGCCACGGGGTGGGGTTTCCTGAGCAAGGGCCTGTGCTGAGATGGGGGCAGTTAGGACTCTGCCCTGCCTGCATCCGGCTGCCTTCTTCCTGCCCTTCCTGATCACCCACAGCCTACCCAGGATGGAGACTGAAGCAGAGGAAACAGGGGGTGCCACCTTTACTCAGGTGTGGGCTGGCCTAGAGGAGGCTTAGTGGAAGAAGACAGGCTTCTCTGCCTTTAATCCTGGCCCTGCTGCTGACTGCAATGTGATCTTGGACATGTTGACTCCAAGGGGATCACGCAAAGATGGGGACAGACCACCAAAGTCTAATAAACCAGAAGCAAACTTTATTCCAGAAACAAGATTCCAGGAAAACCAGAAGCAAACTTAAAAATAAAACAATAAAAAATAAAAACATTGCTGGGCACAGAAGCTTATCAGTAGCTGAGACCACAGTCAGAGATGGTGCTTGTTTGTTAGGCTGTGGCCAAAGGCTGGTTTCTGAACCAGCCTTTTATAGTTAGGGCACCAAGCATTAGGTCTGAACAAAGGATTTTTACAGTCTTGCCCCTACCCGTGGGTCAGTCAATGTAGACCCTAAGGAGGGGAGTGAGTTCTAATGTCAATGGGCAGCTATCATGAAATATGTTTCAGAGTAGATTACAGCTAGAGTCAATAATTACAAGAAAACAGTGTCTTTAGCAATTAGAAAAGCGACTTCTAGTAATACCAGAAGGTTAATAGATTAGAATTAATTGGTTCTTAGGGGACTGGAGAGATGGCTCAGAGGTTAAGAGCACCGATTGTTCTTCCAGAGGTCCTGAGTTCAATTCCCGCAACCACATGGTGGCTCACAACCATCTGTAATGAGGTCTGGTGCCCTCTTCTGGCCTGCAGACACACATGTAGACAGAATATCGTATACATAATAAATTAATTAATAATTAATTATTATAATTAATTATTAATTAATTAATAATTAATTATTATGTATTTGTTACATGATAAATTAATTAATAATTAATTGGTTCTTAGACAAGGAACTTAAAAGATAGCAGAAACCTTTTCACACTATTTCAAGATAAAGCTCAGATTCAGACTGCCATACTTCACATCCTCCAGTGTCAGAGCTCATTCTTAGAGGTGTTTGTCCGGTTCTGTCTCTCTGGTACCTCAGGCAGTGTATACTGGAGCCCCATGCCTCCCCTTTGATGGTGCCAGTTTCCCATAACGGAGACAGTGCCTAACCCAGAGGTTACGTATCTCTGTCTCCTAAAGGTTAACTCAGTTCATATCTGTCGTTCATCCAGAATGACCAAGACACTGCTCTCAGAAGCTCCGGCCTTGTATATAGAACAGCCAGTTGTAAAATGGAATGACCTAGGCTGATGGAGGCTTCTTAAACGTCTGAGAAAATAGCTCACTGTGAATGACTGATCCTCGATCTGCTGAGAAAGCTGTTGACAGTCTGTTCTCATTCTCCTAGACTTATAACTTTATATTTATTTCTACATTCTTATTTTTGGAATCTTCATTTTTATTTTCTTATTCTTGGACTCTTCAGACAAATTTCTTGCCTTTTGCACTGGATTCTGCATTTGGAGTCAAATGAGTCAGGCCCTCCACCCAGCAACCCCACCAAGGGACTGGAGGGTATACAGTGAACGGGTGCACCTGCTCTGCTTCTGCTTCCTGCCTTGTTAAACCAGTGTTGCGCCTGCACAGGGTGCCTTTTTCCTATCTTAAAGATTGTTCTGTTTCCCTGGCCGGAGAAATAACCCAGGCTTAGTGAGAAACTGATGGCTGAGTACAGCTCTGTTTCTTGGGGTTTTATTATTTGTGTTGTGTTTTTAGACAGCACCTCAAAAAAAGAAAAACTGCATTTTTATAAAACTGGAAAAGTGCTCACTGTAACAGCACATGCTAAATCAGAACAACACAGAGGTGGCTGTGCTGCCTCTGTGCGAGGATGACGGTTTGTGCTTTTAGAGACAGGGTTCTTCTGTGCAGCCCAGGTCATCCCGAAATTCTCTTGTAGACCAGGCTGGCCTCAGAGAGCTGTCTGCCTCTGCCTCCCGAGTGCTGAGATTTAAAGGTGTGTACTACCACCACTCAGCTTTTTCTTAAGAGTTTTTATGTATATAAGTATTTTACCTATATGTGTTTGTGTATTCATTAATGCATGATTTTTTTTTTAAGAATCTGCCACTTACCTTCAGTCCCAACACTCAGAAGACAAATACAGACAAATCTCTCTGAGTTCCAGGCCAGACAAGGTGAGACTCAGTCCCCCCCAAAAAATGTCTGAACAAGAGAGGAAAAGTCAGCCTGAAATTATAACATCCCTGGCATTTAGGCCAACACCCCTTCACACACATGTAGATTGTCCATGTGTACTTTAGTATGCCAATGGGCAAAGCTATAGGTCATCTGCTGGGGACACTTTTCCCTCCAAAGCAGGCACCACATACCACCACTCTTCTGACCAGTATGACGACCTGATTCTTTCTCATTTCTCATGTTAAGAGAGAATCCTAAACAGGCTGGCATATATGGAGTGTGGATGGCAGGGGCATTGGTAGTCCATGCTTTTAATAAATGGTACCCTCTCAGGCTCGAGAGATGGCTCAGTGATTAAACACTTGTTGCTTTTGCAGAGGTTGGGTTCCCAGCACCCACACGGCAGCTCACAACCAACTCTAACTCCAGTTGTAGGCATCTGATGTTCCCTTTTACCGCTGCAGACACCAGCCTTGCCCACGGCGCACTCACATACTCACAGTCAACTCTCACATACGTAAATAAATCTGAAAAACTTAGCGGCGTCCTTTTGAACGTTTCCACATTTTGTTTGTCTCTTTCTGTAGTATCTTGCTTTCTGCAAGCATCCAGCTGTGTCTGATCTTTCTCATTTGTTTCAGTATGTTTCTCCTGCTATGCATGCACTCTGCCAGGAGCTACGTGGCAGTGGCAGCCCCGAGTTTTAATGTTCAAATGGGGATCATAGGAGGGTTTTGATAACATGTTTGCAAAGCTCTCAGAAGAATACCACTCCAAAAAGTATTATATACCCTGCCTCATCTCTCTGTGCTGGGGCTGGGAGGAGGGACTGGGAGGAAGGTCTGACAGGAACTCCAGACTCAACCTCTGCTTCTGACCTGAGGGAGGAGGAAAGGGAAACCTCCAAGTGGGAAGTGGCTGATTATGAGGCATTGGTCATTCAGCTGCTGGCTGGATGCCTGTGTTCCCAGCACTGAACCAGGCCTGGGTGGGAGAGGCCGTTTCAAAGCTCTCCATCCTCAGTTGAGTAGGGAGTTGAGACCAGTGGTGAGACTCACACCCAATGGGGCACTTCTTGTGTGGCAGAGCATAGCTGATGGAGGTCAGGGATAAGCGTGAATACCAGGCAGGAGCAGTAAGTAGAGCGAGAGATCGCCGCTGGAGTTTGTAGGTGTCTAAGGACCTAGCATCAAGATTCAGGGTCTCCATTCCTCCTCAGATGTGGGAGGGCTGCTGTAGTGCACACTTTTAATCCCAGCACTCGGAAGGCAAAGGTGGGTGGATCTCTCTGAGTTCCAGATCAACTTAGTTTACATAGTGAGTGCTAGATCAACCAGGGCTACACAGGGAACGCTGCACAAAAACAAAAAAGAGGGGGCAGTGGTGTAGCCCACGTCTTTATTTATTTTTTTATTTTTATTTTTTGGTTTTTCGAGACAGGGTTTCTCTGTAGCTTTAGAGCTTGTCCTGGAACTCCCTTTGTAGACCAGGCTGGCCTCGAACTCACAGAGATCCGCCTGCCTCTGCCTCCCGAGTGCTGGGATTAAAGGCGTGCGCCACCACCGCCCGGCTAGCCCACGTCTTTAATCCCCGCTCTCAGGAGGCAGAAATAGTTGAATCTCTGAGTTTGAGGCCATCCTGGTCTGCAGAGAGGGTTCCAGGACAGTCAAGACTACACAGAGGATCCTGTCTCGAAAAACCAAAAAAAAAAAAAAAAAAGACCCTCATTACATATCCCAGGCTGACGTCAAAGTCACAGAGATCTGCCTTCCTTGAGTTAGGATTAAGGTGTGATCCACCAAGCCCCATGTGTTGACTTTTTAAAGTTTGTTTTATTATTGTTGTGTTTATGAGTATGGACACACGCCACAGCTGCTTGAGGAGGTCAGAGAACAATTCTCAGGACTCCGTTCTCTCCAGCTGTGGGTTCTGCAGACCAAACACAGGTCGATGGTTTGTACAGCGAGCGCTTTCACCCACTCTGCCATCTCGTCTACCTCTGCCTCTTTTATTTTTTTCTCCATTTTTTTGTTTTGTGTGTGTGTGTGTGTGTGTGTGTGTGTTTCTGTTTTTAAAGACAGGGTTTCTCTGTGTAGTCCTGGTTGCCCTGGAACTCACTCTGTAGACCAGGCTGGCCTCAAACACAGAGACCTGCTTACCTCTGCCTCCTGAGTGTTGGGATTAAAAGCGTGCGCCGCCACCACCCAGCTGTTTTTCTCCATTTTTTGAGATGGGGGCCTTATGAATCTGAGGCTGATTTCACAGCCAGAAATTGGTATGTAGCCAGGGATAACCTTGAACTTCTTGTCTCAAGGGCTAGGACACTGGCTGTACCGCCATACATGTATTTATCCATGCATGTATTTATGGGGTTCTGGGGACTGAACCAGGGCTTCCTACATGCTAGGCAGTCACTATAACTGAGCTACATCCCCAGCTCTTTTTTGTTGTGTTTTGAGGCAGGTTCTCACATAGCCTAGGCTGTCCTTGAACTCCTGACCTTCCATCTGTGTCTCCTAAGTGTTTGGAATTATTGGCATGCCCCTCACCTGGACAGTTGCTTTGTGTGTTGTCCTCCCGCCCCTGATTCATGTGCTCTTTCATTTCAGCTTCTCAACCTCCGACTAAGGAAAGAATCTTAGAACAAGAACAAACCATATCGCTGCTGCTGAGACCTCACCTTTCTGCCTGCAGCTCTGCAGAAGGACTTCCATCCCTTTGAGAAGAAAGTGGGATAGTCACACTCCCTGTCTTCATTGGCCTTTAACCTAACTTCTAATTCCCTGAGCCAACTTTGATCACATTTACCATCTAATCTTTAGTGTTGGCAAGTGTGGACATCTGAACACCGCCCTCTGGAGCCAGTGTTTTGGGCTGAGGGTGTTGGTAGGGTACTGAGGACTGAGCAGCCAGGGCTGTGTGCTGAAGTCACCATGTCCACCAAGGTCCCCATTTATCTGAAACGTGGCAGCCGCAAAGGCAAGAAGGAAAAGCTTCGGGACCTGCTGTCCTCAGACATGATTAGCCCACCACTTGGGGACTTCCGTCACACTATTCACATTGGCAGTGGTGGAGGTGATGACATGTTTGGGGACATCTCCTTCCTGCAGGGCAAGTTCCACCTCCTTCCAGGAACGGCAGTGGAGGAGGCCGAGGAGGATGGCAGCTTCGACCTTCCCTTCCAGTTCACTCGCACTGCCACTGTGTGTGGGCGGCCACTCCCTGATGGACTGTCACCTCTGCTCAAAAATGCCATCTCCCTCCCTGTCATCGGTGGTCCCCAGGCTCTCACCCTGCCCACAGCCCAGGCTCCACCTAAGCCTCCTCGCCTGCACCTGGAGTCACCACAATCTTCTCCAAAGTCCTCCCCGCAGGAGGCAGGAAATGTGGACATCTGGAGGATCCCGGAGGCCAGCTCCCCCCACAATGGCATGAGCCCAGAGCCAGAGGCTGAAGAGCCTTTCCTGTCCCATGCCAGCTCCCTGCTGTCTCTGCATGTGGACCTGGGGCCATCTATCCTGGATGATGTCCTCCAGATCATGGATCAGGACCTGGGCCACGTGCAGATCCCCACATAGGACCCTTGCTGACCAGACAGGTCACCGAGGCTGTGGTGACGCCTAGAGACATCTATGGACATGGCCCTGACCTAGGAGTCAGCGTCCCAGATCCCACCCGTGGGTGCTGGTCAGTGACTGTGTTTTGAGCCTTTTCTTTCCTTCCCTCCTCCCAATGGACAGAGGACATCTTTGCTTCCCTCTAACAACATCCGCAGGGGACCATGTCAGATTTGCCCCAGACATTCCTGAGCCTCTTAGGTCATCTGGAGCCCCACTTCCCTCGCTGAAATGGACTCTACCCCTTTTCCACTGCCCTCCACCCCAGCATCATCAGATACCCACCCATCTTTGTACCCTGGCCTGGGAGCACGTTGTCCGTAACCAGACATGGTATGCCTTGTGTCCTGTCCCATCCCTTCTCCACATGACCAGGGGATTCTGGTTGCAACAAAACATGCTGCTGGTGGTGGCTGAGCATCCTGTCCCCTTATCCCAGGCTTCCTTCCAAAGGTGGGCCAGTTTCCATAAACAAGCTCACTTGAGAAAAGTCCCACCCCAGAAGATTTCATAGAGCCTGGGCCTCCCTTCAGGGGTTGTGCTTAAGTCTGCACCCACAGTGAAAATGAAGCAAGAATAGTCAGTATTGTTACTTTGTTGCTATGACAAAATGCCTGATGAAGCCTGGCGGTGGTGGTGCACGCCTTTAATCCCAGCACTCGGGAGGCAGAGGCAGGCGGATCTCTGTGAGTTTGAGGCCAGCCTGGTCTACAAAGGGAGTTCCAGGACAGGCTTTAAAGCTATAGAGAAACCCTATCTAGAAAAACCAAAAAAAAAAAAAATGTCTGATGAAAACAGCATCGGGGAAGGGTTATCTGGGCTCACAGGTCCCAGGTACAGTACTGTCCATCAGGAAGAGGAAATCATGAGAGCAGGAGCTTGAGACAGCTGGCCACCTGTGTCCATAGTCAGGAAGTGAAACACAGTGAATGAGGGTGCTTTGATCACTTTCTCTTTTATTCAGTCTGGGACCCCAGCCCATTGGGTGGTGCCGCCCACATTTAGGGGACCCCAGTCCACTGGGTGGTGCTGCCCACATTTAGGGGTCCGTTTTTTTTTCACTGTCATTAACTAGATCTAAAATCTCCTTCACAGACAGCTCCCTGTTTCCATGATGAGTCTGACCTTATTAAGTTGACCAAGATTAACTACCACACAAACCAAGTATCAATGGTGGATACTGGACATTGATTTAGGTGTTTGGCAGGGATGGGCTGGAAGGGGCTGGAGAGATAGCTCAGTAGATAAGAATGTTGCTTGTGCCACACAGTGGTGGTGCACAGCGCCTTTAATCCCAGAACTTGGGAGGCAGAGGTAGGTGGATGGATCTTTGTGAGTTGGAGGCCAGCCTGGCCTACAGGGCAAGTTTCAGGAAGGGTCCAAAGCTAGAGAAACAGAAACAAAGAAAGGAAGGAAGGAGGGAGGGAGGGAAGGAAGGAAGGAAGGAAGGGAGGGAGGGAAGGAAAGAAAAAAAGAAAGAAAATGTTGGTTTTTGGGGTTTTTTTTTTTGTTTTTTTTTTTTTTGGTTTTTCGAGAAAGGGTTTCTCTGTAGCTTTGGAGCCTGTATGTCCTGGAACTAGCTCTTGTAGACCAGGCTGATCTCAAACTCACAGAGATCCACCTGCCTCTGTCTCCCAAGTGCTGGGATTAAAGGCTGGGATTAAAGTACTGGCTGTTCTTATAGAGGACCTGGGTTCAGTTTATGTGGATTAAACCGAGGACTTCTTGCATGCTAGCTTGGCACTCTACCAGCTGAGCTACATCTTTGCCCTTCAGTTAATGCTATAACATGGTTCTTACATTGCAAAAGATTGAGATGAACCAGTAAGAGAATGGACACAGGAATAGACAGAAATTCTGTATTTGGGAGTGGGTGTGATAATCAGACTTCACGTTTTCTAACAAAAAGAGAGATGCAATATACAATCAACCCTGTGCATCATGGGTTCTATAATCATGAATTTGGCAACCATGGGTACAATATAGTTTTAAAAATTACAGGCCGGGCTATGGTGGCACATGCCTTTAATCCAAGCACTCAGGAGGCAGAGGCGGGCGGATCTCTGTGAGTTCGAGGCCAGCCTGGTCTACAAGAGCTAGTTCCAGGACAGGCTCCAAAGCTACAGAGAAACCCTGTCTCTAAAAAACAAACAAAAAAAATTAGAGGGGACTAGAAATATGGCTCAGATGTTAAGAGAATTGGCTGCTCTTCCAGAGGGCCAGGTCAATTCCCAGAGCCCACAGGGCAGTTCACAATCATTGTGACTTCAGTTCTAGATCTGATGCTCTTCTTCTGGCCTCCCCCGGCACCAAGCACACATGTGGTGCATACCTGCAAACAAAACGAATTTTAAAAATTAAAAAAAAAATTGCACCTGAGGGCTGGTGAGATCTCAGGGTCAAGGCACCTGAGGGCTGGTGAGATCTCAGGGTTAAGGCACCTGAGGGCTGGTGAGATCTGGGGGGGGGGGTCAAAGCACCTGAGGGCTGGTGAGATCTTGAGGGTCAAAGCACCTAAGGCTGGTGAGATCTCAGGGTTAAGGCACCTGAGGGCTGGTGAGATCTCGGGGGGTCAAAGCACCTGAGGGCTGGTGAGATCTCAGGGTCAAGGCACCTGAGGGCTGGTGAGATCTCAGGGTTAAGGCACTGAGGGCTGGTGAGATCTCTCTCAGGGGTTAAGGCTATTGCTGCTCTTCTAGAGGACACATATAGAATACACTTATATACACACACAATTTTTTTCTTTGCTTTTTTTTAAGACAGGGTTTCTCTGTATAGTTTTGAAACCTGCCCTGAAACTTGCTCTATAGACCAAGCTGGACTTGAACTCAGAGATCCTCCTGCCTCTGCCACTTGAGTGCTAGAATTAAAGGCATACACCACCACCACCCATCTTGAGACTCTGTCTCCCAAACCAAAACCAAAACCAAAATTTACAAAGACCATAGTGTCACTTGACATTGTTGGCTGTCCAATAATTCCTCTTTGCACTTTGGAACTTCATTTTGATTATAGTATTTGAGGGACACGGTACCTAGACAAACTAAAGAGGGAAGGTCCTAGACCAGGCAGTGGTAGCGCACGCCTTTAATCCCAGCACTTGGGAGGCAGAGGCAGGTGGATCTCAGTGAGTGTGAGGCCAGCCTGGTCTACAAAGCGAGTTGCAGGACAGCCTGGACTGTTACACAGAGAAACCCTGCTTTGAAAAACAAAAACAAAATAAAACAAAAAATGGAAAAAAGGGAAAAGGTCCTTCCTTCTACCTCTAGCTACCTCGATGTAAGGAGACGCCTTAACTTGATGAGTCAAAGCCTTGGACAACCACTCTGATATGGCAGCCCTACATGTGGCTGGTGTATGATACAGACTTGGGAACCCAAGACAATAGTGTCCTCTTCCAGTGGCTCCTCTAGCCTCAGCTGAGGTCTAGAGTGAGGCTGGATGACTAAGGATGTAAGGAAGGTGCCTTTTTTTGCTGCCTTTCCCTCAACAGAAGAGAAGCTGCAGTGCTTTCTCAAGCGCAACAGCCCTTAGCTCCCTGCACTCTGTACCATCATAGGCTCTGCCAGGGCCTGCAGCTGACACTTCATGGATCTAGTAGCCACATGGAAGCTTCGGGGTCCCATTGAGTCAGGGTGCCTATAGTAGGTCTGCTGTAGGAATTCCTGCAGCCGGTAGCCTTTAAATCACCTACCTACTTGGGCGAGGCCTCTTATACTAGTTATGCCAATGTAAAGTGCACCTTTGGCCTCTTTTCCGGTTGCTGTTCTCCATTCAGCAGAGGACTGTGACTTGTGAGTCTACCCCTAAATAAATGTCCCTCTATTATTCTCAGTTCTGAGCTAGTGTGGGATTTCTTTTACGCATCCTTCTTCATCTGGCGCCCCACATGGATTCAGACTCCCCACCTACAGGGTGGACAGCCTGAGGGCCTAACCAGTCCACAGCCCCGAAAGTCTTCCCAACCCTGCTTGCTTGGCTTGATTTTACCTAAGCAAATTTTTTTTTTTTTGGTAAAACCCCTGCCACAGCAGAGCTAACGTGTCCAGCAACTTGCAAATTTCCCAAGCTCGCGAACATCCCCCCGCCACACACACACTGCTGTGTTTCTTGCCTTGTAGCATCTCTTGTGCAGCTTCCAGTGTGTGCTCCCTGACCGAAAGTGCTGGGCTCATTGCTCCATGTATGGAATTGATTTAATTACTTTTAATTTGTCAAGCAAAGCATATTTCTCAGTATTTAACCAGTACCAATTAAATTAAAGCGGCTCAGGACCATTCCTGTTGCCACTGGTTGCATCGCTGCTAGTTGTGACTCTGCAATCATGACACCTGCTGGACAATAAAGATTATTACACCTAAAACAATTTACCGGATCTCATAACAGGTAATTAATAAATCAATATGGCAGACTACATTAACATTGAAACATTTAGTAACTTTTTTTTTGCTAATACTATGGATTGTATTCTTCAAGGCTTATATGGTTATGGTGATACATCATTTAATACATATTGAGACTCATGTTTTTTCTTCATATTATATCCTTAAGAAAGAATGTGGCACCTTTAGAAATGATACAGTCTTTACAGACTAATAATGAACAGCTAGTTGACAGGATTAATACCATTGAAAATCAAAATTTACCTGAAAAAATTAATACTATTGAAGAGGGTAACATTAATTTGACAGACAGAATTGAACCCATGTCTAAGGGTATTAAGAAATCTGAAAGAATTCATACTGTTGAATTTGACAATCAAAATTTGTTAAAAAGTTATAATAGGTTAGCAGATAGAGTATGCCTGCAGGAAGGCAATCTGCACATTATCCAAATAATGTCCAAGGATGAGATGTTCTCTTTAAAGGAAAAACTTCAGACCTTGAATCACATGTGCAGAATGAGGACCAGAGGCTAGGTGCCTCAGTGAAATCACTAGAAATATATACAGGCCAGGAGATGAAGGCTTTACAAAAGACAGTAGTAAAAGGATTTGAAATGATTGAGGAAATTATTGGAGCTGATGAACAGGGAAAGAAGGCACAAGGACAGGATTTAACATTGCCAATACCTGTCAGAGATGATTTACCTAGGGTTTTAGCTTCCTACCCTGTAATCAACTCTAAAAAAGCATCAAGTTCTAAAGGCCCCTGTTGAGGAAGCTGCGGGTTGCATTCCTGCTACCCTGCTCTCAGCTGCTGGCTAGCTTATGCCCCAAAATAACAACACACAAACTGTATTCATTTAAACACTGCCTGGCCCATTATATCTAGCCTCTTCTAGGCTAATTCTCACGTATTAATTTAGCCCATTTCTAATAATCTGTGTAGCACCACTAGGTGCGCTTACCGGGAAAGATTCAGCATGTTTGACCTGGCAGCTTGCTTCATCTGTCTGGCTCTGAGAGGAGCTGCATGATTTCTGAGCTCACTTCCTCTTCCTCCCAGCATTCTGTTCTGTTCACTCTGCCTATCTAAATTTTGCCCTATCAGATGGGCCAAGGCAGTTTCTTTATTAGCCAATGACCTTCCTCTATCAGGCCCCAAAGGATTCAAAGAAGGTAGATGGATACCTATATGAATAATCTAAAAGAAATTAAGCAAGCTGCTGTATAACTTATGGCTTGCATTCTGCATTTGTTAGGGAGATGATAAAGACAGGGGATTCTAGCATTAAGGCAACACCACATGACTGGCTTCAGTTAGTTTCAGAAGTCCTGGATGACAGGCCTTAACTGATGTTTAAATGTTATTTAAGCAAAGAGGCTAAAATTTTAGAACAACAGTGAAAAGCAAAAGGACTTGAGACTTCCCAAGATCAAATTCTTGGAGAGGGCACTTATGCTGACCCACAGGATCAAGCTCTTTACGATGAACAAATCTTGTCCCTATGCCACAAAGCAGCCTTAAATGCTTGGGACAGGATTCAAGAACTAGAAAAATGAATTGAATCATATGCCAGGGTTAAACAGGGCCAGAGAGAACCCTTTAGTGACTTTTTACAAAGATTAACTAAGGCTTTACAAATAGGAGTAACAGAACCAGATGTTAGATGAATACTTACTGAATCTCTAGCTTTTGAAAATGCCAAATTAGAATACAAAAAGATACTTGGGCCTTTAAAGGTTAGATCAGTACCTATGGATGAATGGATCCTACATACAATGAACATTGAGACATTTGACTATAATACTGAATCTTGGGTAGGAGAAGCAATTTCCAAAGGAATGAGGAGACATCAAAATGCCAGATGTTTTAATTGTGGTAGATAGGACAACTGATAAGGAATTGTAGACAAGAAATTCCTAGGAATAATATCTCCTCTGGGAATGGCAAGAATAGGAGTACTCAG